CCCATAAATATAGCAGAAGTCTTTTGTTGCAGAGAAGTTTCAATCATTCGTTTTTCATAAGTTTATAAATTTGGTATTTTCTGCTTGTTTGTATTCTTTGAACATGAACATGCATGTCGAAAGGCGAATTTGATGATATATGTAACATAATTCTTTTTGCTTATCTTTAAATGTTAAGAAGAATTACTCTCTCTTAGTAGTTTTGAACAGGCGGCAACACCGTTATAAGTAGTTTGGAAATAAAGCCTTTTCAAAACCTATTCGATTCATAACCATATCGCAATAATTCATTTAAATTATTAAATTATTTGAATTAAATTTCGTATAAAGGTGGCAACTCTCTTTAAGATATTCTTAAACAACAACGTTATTAAACCTCTTTCGCCCGACAAGCGTACTGTAATACATACATATGTCAATTATGCCACTCAAGTCTAAGTTGATATTTTAAACGGGTGGCAACCCTCCTACATGTAGGTTAGAAATAAAGCCTTTTCAAAACCTATTCGATTTTCATACCCATATCGCAATAATTCATTTAAATTATTAAATAATTTGAATTAAATGTCTTATAAAGGTGGCAACTCTCTTTAAGATATTCTCAGACAACAACGTTATTAAACCTCTTTCGCCTGACAAACGTACTGTAATACTTACATATGTCAATTATGCCACTCAAGTCTAAGTTGATATTTTAAACAGGTGGCAACCCTCCTACATGTAGTTTAGAAATAAAGCCTTTTCAAATCCATATTGGTTGATACAAATGGGTAATTATTTATTTAATTGAATTAAATTTTTTAATAGGTGGCAACCCTTTTTATGTTCTTACCTAGATACATATGTCAGAACCTTTTATAAGCCACATGACCCAAGCGAAAGTAAAAGACGCTGTGGACAATATGGAGCACCATACAAAAAAATTGGAGGTTTAGGGCAGCGAAGTGCAGAAGCTACCATATATGGAATGCATGGTCAGGCTATGCTTCTTCTTCATGTAATGTACTTAGCTTGTTAGAAAAAATTTATTTGGAAACGCATTTGTAAAAATGAGATGTATGTATGTATAGTATATATGTACATAGATATTTTCTTTGTCAGTATCTCTTTTCGAAATAGGGATTCGTATGCACTCTAAAAACTATTCCAATGCCACATGGGTACCAGTAGAGGCGAAGCGCCTAAGGAGACGGCCAGATTGGAATTCCAATTCAATTCATTCGATGGAAGATTCTGAAGTTTGCATAATAAGCCTGATGAAATTTGCACATAAGGTACTTTCGACGATACATACTTCGTGAATGAGTCCATGATTGATTCTTACAAATGTGGTTTCCGACTAGTCAGGCCAGCGTGCAAAAGGACGCTTAGCGAAAAAGGCCGGTCTTATCGATTTCAAAAACAGCTGCTCATGCATAATGTTTTCCTGTCATCTCTCAAGAAGGATATCGACAGAATGCCACACAAGGTCTTAAATTTTAATTTGGTTAGTTTTGGTTTTCACTCCGACTTTTCTTGAGTGTTGAAAATCATGCCTATCTAACAGACTTTGTGCGACATGTGGTGTTCCTCAAAGTGGCATATTGCAGCACTCGCTATTTATCGTATTTTATGAATTATATCGGGTTTCGCTTCCGTCATCTTCTATAAGCAGATCACCTCGAGCTACAGATACTCTGCTATTAGAAACTTTAATGATTACAGTGTTCTTCAAGCGAAACTTGATTGACTTTATTCTTGGTGTATGCGGACCTGTTCCTCCACATCTCTGCCGACTTGGACACGAAACTGATTTTCTCCACTTCTATTAAATAAATTATTTTCAAAATCGTATCCAGTGCTAACCTTTATCCGGGGCTTTTCATTATTCTGGTTAGATTTAGGCTCGAATATGGTTCTTTCATATGGAGACCGTTCCATTTTTCATATCGATCGCCGCAAGCTACTTTATGTCATCGATCGATATTGATCAGTGCGCTTTTCATGGCATTTTAAGACGTTTTTGAGGTTAGGTTTGTATGGGAGCTATGCTTCAGAATACATCGATCACGCAAACTGCGTGTTTTTCTTGATTTACGTCCATAAATGTTGCATACGGAAAATTTAGGTTCTACGCCGACTCCTTCTAATTGTTTCCAAAAACTGTATGGAGCTCTACCACTGTGCGGTGAATAGGTAATTAATTCTTTTTCGTGCGGCTTTGGAGACGATAAATAGATGGTTTGCATTGTATGGCCAAATATCAAGGATTTGCCTAAATATTTGCTTGTGGGCTCTTTATACGAATCGCTGTTTTCAATCAAATCATGGCACCTAAATAAGCTCGACGCTTGGCAACTAACTAACTAAATAATAAAATTCAGACGAACCATGTTATGTAGAATGCCTTTGAGTCTTCTACTCTTGCTGCGAAGCTCCACTCATTAAACTCGCATGCAAATGCTGCGCCTCCTCTTCTTGCTGCTCTCTTGCTGCTACCACATTGCAGCACTTGCCCCGCCTATTTTGCGGCACGGCAAAGCAAAGCAAACTTCGCGCGCCGTTTATTTCCTCATTTTGCTTTTGTGTAAGTTCCTTTCAAAGCCACGACAGCTGCATACTCCAATGAAAAGTATTTTAATATTTGTAGTATTTTTTTTTTGTGTCGCATTTAGCCGTTGGTGTTTTGTAGGTCAAGGTTACTGGATGCTTTCGCTGTACTTACGCACGCATGCTCGTGTGCGTGTGCGTGTGTTTGCGCACGCTGATGGATTTCTTTTGAAGCGCACCCATTGCAGCTACTGTTTTGAATTACTTGTGTCAGTTGATGACGATTTGTCGGGCTGGCTGTCAACGATTGTTATGCACTATTTCGTATTTGTTGCTATGCTATGGCGGCAAGTTCTATGTAGCTGCTGTGCGAGCTACATAGTACGTTGCTGTTGTTGACATTGATTACAAGTGATGGCATTTTATGGCGTTCCCATTTGCTGACGTCGTCAAGAGCTCGTAACAGATTCTTGTTTTTTTGCTCTGCTTGCTCTTCTCACTGATTTTCCAACGCTTTTTTTTTTAGTGATGCAGCTTACTTACTTACTTTCGTCTGCCCCCACTCCTTTCGTTTGCTTTTCACTTTGGCATTTCGCTTGAGGCTCTTAAATTGAATTTAATGTTACATTTATCATAATTTTGTGACAACTTCGCTTGTGATGGCGACAGTATAATTTGCCCCAAAAACCCCTGCTGCGTGGGCGGGACAGACTGCGCAGCGTGGTCGGCACGAATGCATTTCTTAACGTTCGGGATTTTCATGTCACGTAGGCGACAGAATTTTCACTTTTTTCCAGAAAGTAGTAATTTTTCGTTTTCTTTCTTTTCTTTAAAGGAAGGTGGCCATGATACGTTCTATTTTTAGTGTGTTTGTTGTTTTTGCGCAAATGCGAATTTGATTATGCTTCAAAAAATTTGCATTTTTTTGAAACTTATTTTCCACGCTTATGTGCATTGTGGATTGCAAAGAGCTTTGAATTGTAGCACGTTTTAGACATCATTAATTTTAGATAAATATGAAAATCCCCAAAAACTTTGCTAACAGACTCACTTGATGCGCTGTTAATGGCGACAATGGCAGCAACTGCTTGCTGCTCGTGGCACTTATGCAAGAATTAATTCCGTTATTCCATTGCAAATATAAACTCTAAGAAAAAACATGTGCCGCCATATACTTTGCCATTGCCAAAAAGTTGTGGGCATGAAGCAAAAAACGATGTACCAAAAATTGTATCTTCATTTTAGAACTAAATTTGTCTTCAGTTATTAAAAAAAACAGTTCCAAAAAAATGAGGAGCTGGAAGACTGTTATATTCATTGGAAGGCACATGCAGTTCTCGTAAGGCAGCTATGAAAAAATTGTCCAAAAAAACATTTGGACCTAGGTTGAGCGGGTTGGGATTGATTTCATTTGGCGAATGCGAAACTCAATTCAAATTGTTGTAACAATTCTTTAAAATTCTATTTTCATTGAAATTTGAAGGTCTAATAATTTTGCATTTAATTTAATTCGACTGTTTTTTTTTGTTTTTATTTTTGTGCTGGTAGCACTACGCGTGCGGACATACGACACTTACCTAGCGAGAGCTTCTCACCAGAATCGGGGGGCAGTGTGAAGCCTAGCAGTGCCATTGAGGCTATCAGTACGCACGGCACAATTAGGTTAAAAAAATAGTACAAAGTTTTCCGTCGTATTAAAATGGCGAACGTTATGTCAATATAAGGTTCTGGGCAGCAATTATAGTAGATTTCATTTCGTTTACCGGGCACGCCTGCAAAGAGAATGGACGTGAAATACGTTCGACGGTGAGAATGCAAAGAGAAAGAGAGGATTGTTTTATTTAGTTATTAGTAGTTGTTTTTTGTTTTTTTTTTGAGAGAGGGAAAGAGAGAAAGAGAAAGTGGCGCATTAGATAGCAGCAGTAAGATATTAGTTTAAAATACATATGTATGTATATAATGAATATATGTATGTATGTATATATATGCATATAAATGTTTATAAGTAATTGCTAGTGAAATTTTGTTGGCTGTTTTGTTGTTTTTGTTTTTTTTTTGGTGAGGCTTTGTTATTAATACACAATTTATTTAAATATTATGAGCAAAAAATATGTTAAAGCAAAAGAATAAATTATAACCATTTTTCGATTTATAAGCTGTGAGTTAGTTAGTATGTTATTAGTTAAATATTTTTAGAATTTGCGGAATTTAAATTTGCTAGAAAACTTTTTATGAAATGCCTTTCTTTTATTTTCAAGCCACCGCTGCCATACCTAGCAGATCCCATTCGCCGTTCGTTATGAAACTTGAAATGTCACCACCGGCCTCGTCTTGCAGCTGCAAGTCCAGCTGGAAAGAGAAAGTAATTTAATTGATTTTTATAAATTTGTTGAGAAATTAAAAAAAACTAAAAGAAAAATAAAAAAATAAACAAAAAGAAAACAATTCAATAAAATAAAATAAATAAAATAAAAATAAATAAAATAAAATCAAATAAAATAAAATAAAATAAAAAAAAATAAAATAAAATACATACATAATATAAAAAAAAATAAAAAAGATAAATAAAATAAAATAAATAAAAAGAAGAATAAAACAAAAAAGATAATTAGGAGTGTAAAATTTTTATGAAAACTTCTATAAAGTATTGAATTCCAATTTTTGGAGTTTTTGTTGTAGTATTAGCCATAATTTTCCAAGAGGCTTCCCTGAGAAGCCTTTTAGTCGGAGGAGAAATTGAGGCAGGTACTTGACTTCTTTTGTCTTTGCCATTATTTTTTTTTTACCAGCCTCCAATTCAAATTTCTTTAAAAGTTTATAGATTTGAGGTAAACCGTAAATCAAAATGCATCAATTGAGAAAAAATCAAATTCTTATCTTCGAATTACTTTTACTTTTACAATTGACGGATCGAATCGACAAAAAATCGAATCGGAAGGGCTCAATTAATCGATCTTCGGTTAAATCGATTTAAAAACGGCATCTCTCATACGAACCCACCTCTAAGTCGGAGATGCCAGTTAATAAAGTTATGGCAACAGTTTTCTAGCATATCGAAGAAGTCATCTTCGCAGACTTCTTTGGGCAAAATAAGACAATCACATAAACTCACATACATATTTAGCTGTGATTTTAAAAAATAGAAACTGCAAGTAATTTTTAAATAAAAAAACAACCGACATTAAGGCTCATAAAAAGAACTAAACCAAATTAGTATGGGTGGTTCCAACCAACTTTCAAACAAAATAGGAATGCGCTACCTAAAGGTGAAAAGGTGCCAAGTGCATTTTTTTCAAAATTTAGTTTTTAACGCAGAATGATAAATAATGCGAAATTACATTGTACATCGATTTTTCGTGTCTCCTGAACAATTTCAAAAAAGTGAGGTACTGGAGAGGTGGCAGCACCGTACGAAAAATGGTCTCGAAACGGTGTTGAAAAATAAAGTTTTATAAACTTACATATTTCGTGTGTTTAATTTAATCAGTCCAGTTAACCATTCAAGAATGAAAAAAATTTACATATAAAAATTATGCTTCTAGTTCGCAAGCGCATGTATTTATGTATTTGCATACACATGCTTTTGTTTAAGAACTTGCTTCAAGGATTCAAGGATTTACACTTTTCATTTTCTACTCACTACTTTTTATTTACAATTAAGCAACTATTCGAGTGATTTAATTAGCTTGGCAGTATTTTAGCATTTCACAATTCCATTAGCCTTATTTTATTTACTTGCCACGAAATTTTATGCCAACAAAGTGAAAGGAATTCTCAATTTTATTTACATATACAATTAAAACGTAGAGCAGCATGAAAGTCGACAAAGAGAATTCAGATAGAAATTCTAAAGAATTTTACTGCTGCCATCGTACAATTGTTTCACCACGGCCAATGTCATTCGAAATTCGCCACTCAGCAGCAAGTTTCTTGCAGTTTTTGATAGTTTTGCATTGGATTGAAATGTGCTCAGGGTTTTCGAAAGTTTCGTTTGAGAACAGGCACTTTTTATGTAGTTTCTTAGGTATTCTTGACTAGGCTGTTTACAAGTTAAGAACTCCTTATCGCTGAAAAAGCTGAATTTATTTCGGAAAATTTACGCATTTGTGGAGTTAAACAGTTACTATTTCAGTTAATGTTTTTCTAGACTTTAACAAGTATTTTTAGTTAGTGCTATGACTAAAAATGTTCTCAAAAATCTGTACTAAATTTTGCATCGTTATTTTTAATTTATATTATTTGATGTTATTTCATTTCATATTTGGGCATTTTTTCTTCATACATAACTGTAGTGTATCTGTAACACAAAAGTGGCATTGCTACAATATTTCTTTCTACGAATACATACTACTATGCCTTTTCATATTCATTCTAGCAGCGCTCCCAAAGGAATGTGAATGCAGCCACGTTGCAGTTAACTAATAAACGCAAAGGCTTTTCAGAATTGTTGCTACATACATACAAACATGCATACATTGTGCATTTACTCTTGCAAACTGACGACTGATGACTGACTAGTTTTGCCTTTTGGCTGACAGATTGCTGTCGTCGTCGCTGCGTTTTGTTTGCCAGTTGCTTTGTTGCTAGTGTAGTTAGTTTGCTTACAAGGCCGCTGATGGCTGCAGGAAAAACGTGCAAGGTGCGCAACCGTTTGTGGAAAGCGAGAGCGGGTTGTTGCTGCGCGCAGCGTAGGGGGTTAGTGTAAAAGTGAAAGTATGTAGACATGGACGCAACAACAACTGCGCTTTAGTATTGTTTCCTACGAGTAATTGCTAATGTTTTACTTGTTGTTGTTTTTGCTGTTACATGTACTATTTGGTTGTAGTTTTTTTTTTATTATTGCCTTTTTATGCTGCTTGTAATTTTGGTTTTCAGCCTGGCTATTTGCAAGGCTACATACACACACTGCCGGAACAAAGTATTGGCACAGCAAATTTTTCACAATATATGCAACAATTTTTATTCTAATATTTTTCCGCTAATTTTGTATAAAAATATGGTTCATTCAACAAAAAAGAGAAATATAAAAATATAATTCCAAAACTTTGTGCAAAACTCGCGAAAATTCAGCAAATTTACATCAAAATTTTCGACTGTTTAGTCAGATATTTTAGAATTTTTTTTGAGTATGTAGTTTTGCAGCCCATTAAATTCTAGTACAAAATGCAAGTTCAGAGTTAGTCAAAAATCGCGTTGATTTTTGGGGATTTTTTTTTCGTTGAAGGTGCTTTACATTTTTTGCCAAATAAAGTATTTTGGAAAAAACATTTTTGTATGGTAAAAATCAACGGTAATTCTTAGCTACTTGAAACTTGCACTCTATTATAATAAAATTGATTGGGCTACAAATTTGTATACTCAAAAAAAAATCTAGAAAAATTTGATTAAAGAGTTGAAAATTTGCATGAAAATTTGCTGAATTTTTGCGAGTTTTTCACAAAGTTTAGGAATTATATTTTTATGTTTTTTGTTGTAGAATGAATCATATTTTTATACAAAATTAGCGGAAAAATATTAGAATGAAAATTGTTACATATATTGTGAAAAATTCGCTGTGCCAATAATTTGGTCCGGCAGTGTATGTATGTGTTTGGGAGAAACTATATGCATGTAGTTCGGCATTGAAAAGATGAACCCATTCTACTTATGTAAATACATACGAACATATTTACCTTCGTTTTAAATTGTAAATAAAAAGTTGTGTATTTTTCTTTTAACGAAAAGTAAATAAAAGTTTGTAGAGCCGCAGTGTCGTCGGAAGCTATGAATGTAAAAGTTAATTCACATTTATTTTTGATTTTTTAATAAATTATCTGTGGGGTTTTATTAAAACCCCTTAACTGACTTTAGAAAGTTTGACTTTGAATTAAAAAATAATCAGTTTTCTTAACAAATTTTATATATTTATTAAGCGTCTATTGAAAGACTATGGCTATGGCTAGTTAAAATATTGTTTGAGAACTCACTGGAATATTGCTTTAAAGGGAAAATAGAAAATCTCGAGTTAAGTTGTTTTAATGAAATACCACACATATTAATACATATCGCACACCGTCTTCATAAGAGTCGCAACTAAAAATAATACATTTGCATACATACATACATTTCTTAGCACATGATAATCATATGGGCAAGGGCGACTTTACCTTAGGTTTTTTAACAAAATATTGGTCCAGCTTTTGCTGAAAGGTAAGGTAGAAGCTCTCTGTACATTTTTAGCGAATAATCTCAAAAATGCCAAATTTTGAGTTGTGACTCTTTTGAAGACGGTGTGCGATATATGCATGTATGTATTAAAAGCACATTTATAACCAATTGCTTTTGTTGAAGTCTAAATATATTTAGTATAAAGCTAGTCAGAAAAGGTAGCAACAATTGTGTTAGCAAGTCAGAAAAATCGGTGAACGGTACTCAGAGATTGCATGAGCCATATTCGATGGTATTTGAAAAAAAATGTAATTCACCATTTTGTGGTTGCGGCCTTCTTAGATTTTTAATTTTTTTTGTAGCGTAGTATATTCTGCTTGTCAAGCCCTGTCATTTGATACCGGAACTGAGAGGGTTGTGAAAAAATAAGTAAACCGCCATTTTGTGACAGCGACCATCTTAAAAGTATAACAATACTGAATTTACATAACTGTATTATTGGCAGAGCTAAATGGGTATACCAAATATCAGATCAATGCAAAAAGTGGAAATTTCAATTACTTACTACTAGATTTACCCACACATACTCATAGCAACTGCACGTCACGTAAGATGCTTCATGCTGCGGAGTCTGTAGAGGAAATTAGATTAACGAAAAATTGAAGAATTCGTTTTGGTTTAAATTAAAAGTTCACAACAAAGCCTATTGAAAATTTTTTTTGCTAATTTCCATGGCCAAAAATTATTCCACAAACTTTATCAGCTTGACACCATCCATTTCATTATGCCAAATGCCAACTTTTGTGCTGCCAACTACTTCAAACTTATTTAGGCGTACGGAATGGGCTAGCAATTGAAGAGTGGCGCATAAATAAAGGAAAACATAAGAAGGAACCCTGTCGGAAATGAGATTGGATGGCAGAAAAGGGGAGTTCAGGCTTGTTGTTTTTATTTAAGAGCAAACTATTGAGAAAAATCTATTTCAGACTACACTGGTTTACAGAAAAATTTTTTTTGTAAGCCACTATCCAATTCCTATTTATGTAAAACTTCTCGTTGATTCTGAAAATCGAGTTAATTTTTTTGAAATGCTTTCGTCTTCGAGATATTTGCAATTTACCGTTACTCAGTCAAAGAAAAGTAGTTAATTTGAAATTTGGGAAATGGAGTTTTCCATAAAATGTAAGTAAGCAATCATTCCA